TAGAGCCTGACATTAGCCTTTTGATAACTCTGATTTAGGACCAGTATTTCGTATAGACGCTAACACACACACACATACATACACGCATACGCTCGAGCAAAAGTATCAGGACCAGTATGAAAGATAATTAGCCAAAGCACTCTATATCTATCTAGGATTTTTTATTATCTTTCGCTAAATTAATTCCATATAGGTGGTAAGGTAGAGCCGTATAGTCTTCTTGCCCTAGTTTTAACTTGAGACTTTTACTAGAGTGAGTTCAAGCTCTGATGATTTCCATAATATGATGAACAAAAGCCCAGCCCGTTTTCACCCGAAACGAGGCAGGTCTCGTGGACTGCGCCAACCTGAACGTCGTATAAAAGCAAAACGGGTGCAGTACAACAGAATTTAGCCGTCTTGTTCTAATGAGATCGACCTACGAATCTCTTCTTCATGCAATGTCCCAATAAATTCCAATGCTGGCAGAAGACATGTTCAAATTCGAGGAGGACCAAGTACAAGGTAGGTTCTTCGAAGGCTCGCTAAAAACACGGCTAAGTTGTGAAGGTGAACTCAATCTAAATCTCTTTCATTGGTCATTATACGCTTAAAGTTGTATGATCTGACTTGTGAGGACTTGTAAGAAAGCGGATAAAAGAAAAGGATGTAGATACAATATATATTCAAAGGGTGTATATCGTTCTGATGGTAATAAAGATAGACTCGATAAATTCCCAGACGTAGAGTTAAGTCAAAATCTGTTCACGCAAATTCCCTTTGCTGCTACCAAATCAATGACGCCCTGTAGATGTGGACTTGAAAACACGTTCGTGAGAGTACCTTATTCGCATAAAATAGACTTTGAGAGGAATATCAGTAGGTAATGAATAAAAGTCAGCCAAAGTCGGATAAGGCGATGATGGACTGCTATTCAAATCTTTTCTCACAATTATATGAGTAGCGATTACGATTCTATTGAAACTCACTAGGATTTAGCTTCCCAAACTTATTTCCATGCAAGCTGGATGGGAGCGCTGTTTTGACCGCGCCTGAGTTTTATCCTCACCCCAAATGGGAATCAGACTTGGGTATGCCAAAATTATACGTTTTCCTACTCAAGTTGGAGGAGTAAAGGCAGACAAGTCATGCTATTTCACCGGAGTCGTACCGCCTCTGTGACGATGAGACCCAGACGAAGTCGAAACCTAAGCCCAGCCTGGATGAGAATACATTTTGGGAAGAAGGCCAAGAGAAATTAAGTGGATTTGTGAGCCCTGTTCATATCATTGCCTGACCTTGGCTGACTAGAACATTTATTTTAGATCTTATCTGATTGCGAAGTGGCTCAACTATCAGTCCTTAAATCATCTTGAGTGATCTTGGGTGGCTAAGTTCTTGAACAATAATTCCTGATAGTCTCGAAATAAAGACGATGAGTCTCTTTTTCTGCTTTTCTTTTTAGATATTAAGTGAAGGTATCCATTATATCTACATTCCCTCTTTTTGCCCTTCTGTGTACAAAGGAAGCGTTTGAGGCCCTTCTCAGTGAGGACCAAGCCAGGCCTGGCTATGCCGATCTTCCAGCCATCAGACTTGGCCTCCCTCGAATGGGCTCGCCCAGATTGCCCAAGTTTGGTTCGTCTCTCAGGCTCCCCCAAGACGTCACGGCTGAAATAGAGGCCTCAATCAATGCCCCCTCGTCTTCTGGTGTCAGTGAACTGGTTACTTGGTGCCCCGCTCTTTCCCCCAGACAGCCGGATTTTCAAGACCCAACAGTTCAGAGAACCCTGCTCGGTGCTCTCGATTACAAACTAACGAGAAGCTGCCAAAATATGAGTCTATCCATAGACAGGCTGCGGGATGTATTGAACGATTCGATAACGGAACCGAAAGTGAAGTCCTTTGAAGGGAATACAGAAGTTGGGGGAGAGGAGATTTCCGACCCCAGGCGTTTCGACGACGCTGGTTTACAGAACGACACATATTCGATCCCGCCATCCCGGACACCGTCATCTTTCTCGTTAATACAATCGTCGAATGGCCAACTTGACGAAACGTCTAATTTGGCCCGACCAGATATTGTGTTATCCAGTCCGAAGTCTGCACAGTGAGTCTATGAATGAATTTACTTATTCACCTTTTAGTTACAGTCACTTTCGATAAAAAATAGAGCAGTTTTCAAATATCCGGACTGTCTTCTCGGGTCGGCCATTTATTATATATATATATATACTTCCATTTCAAGAGATAGTGTGTAGTGGAAAAATTCGATGATCAATTCGACCAGAAAACGATGGCGGGTTCTTTTTGGCCGGCTGCCGTTTGACTTGGCTGGAACCAACCGGCAGACCCCTCCTCGAGGCTTGGCCCTTGAACCAAGTGGATGTATCATGCTAGGTGACAGACATCCTCAAAGCTGAGTATCATTCTTACAAATTACCTAAGCTAGGGAGTCAAGATTACCTTCATTATACACTTAAACTCGAAATTGAAATGAGCTCAACACTAGTAAGACAAGAGACTACTCAAAAACCAACCTATCTTCGTACGAAAGAAGAAGGATAAGATCGTTTTAGCAGGAGCTTAAGGTTGGTCCGCAGATAACCGGGCCGACAAAAACCTCTCAGTCTGGTCCAACCCCACCAGACCAGTGGCAGCCAATCATCGTCTTCTGGTGAGCCCCCCCCCACGAGCCTATTTACCTACAAGCAATAACGCCACTATAATTAATCTTTAGCTTTAGAAGAATGCAATTGGAAGTGTATGCACCCAGAGCAGTTATTCTCCTCACAGATAAGCACAATTTTCTGATAATATGTAAAAAACTTTCGAAAAATACCTATTTGATAATTAATAGCGCATAGGGAGCAAACATAATTAGTAATTGTAGTTGTTTGACCTTGTTATCGCAACTTTGTCATATTGGCGGAAAGGGGAACACACTTTGTCCGAATTCCATAGTATGCGTGATACTTTCTAGAGACGGACTGTGGACTTAGTACATTCCCAGACTTTTTGCCAGAATCATCAATGAATCTTACCATTCTCAGCACTA